GACCCAACGCCATCACAGTCTCCCAGAACCGGGGGCTTCAGGGGACAAGGAGCGATGCCATGTCTAGGAGAAAAGGGGAACGTAAAGGGAACGGACAGGGAAGGGGCGATTCTCACCCACTGAGGCGGGTGCGGCTACTAAGCGAAGGCACGGTACGCGATAACGGCGGTGAGACGGACGGAAGAGAGCCCTCACAGAGGCACGTGCTGCTACTATGTAGTGGCGCGGTACGCGACAACGGGTGCGAGGTAAGCGGAAGGGAAAGAAGCGTGGTACGCGATAACGGGTGCGAGGCGAACGGAACGGAAGGAAGTGCGGAACGAGACGACGGGAACGAGGGGAACGAAAGGGAACGAACGAGTTCCGACGGGACCGGGAACGGCATGAACGAGCGCGTGGGAGGACATGAGAATACGAAGGGTGAGGGACCGATCCATGGAGGTGCGTCGACGGACGGAGGAGAGCAAAAGCGAGAGGAACGGGGTACACCTGCCGATGGAGAGGGCTACGAGGGGACAACGATGATACCTGGGTGGTTATGGTGGCAAGAAGGAGATGCTGCAGAACACGCACCAGAATACCAGGGATCCCTTTGTAGTGTGGGCAGGACGGCAGTATTGCAACTCGAAATAGTGGGCCATAGGTGTGAAGGACTGCTAGACACGGTCCAGGAGCTTTATTCGTCCGACTATTGTGGAACGACTGGGTTTGTAGGTACGCATCCTGCCGGAGGCGCACTCCTTCACAATAGCCAACGGTGACGTTATACTCATCGATAAGGAGGTTCCAAGATTGTCGATGCTTTGCGGAGGAGAGTGTTTCACTGGAGATTTCCTGTTTGAGCCAATACCGTATTCTGTAATTCTCGGGATCGATTGGCTAGTTAACCGCAAGGTGGCGTGGTATTTCCAATCGGACAAGCTCAGGACATATGTAAATGGGCGGTGGTGCGATCTGCCAGTCTTGCGTAAAGAGGGCAAGCAGACACAAGGCACACTGGCCGACTCGGAACCAATCAAAACGGCGGCGGACCACGCCTATGACGAATTGGCTAGGCAAGTTGCAATAATGACAACGGAAGAGGCGGCAGCATTTCTTCACCCCCCCTCAAAACGATATCAATCTAGGCATCGAGCAGGATATCGGGTGAAGATAAAGGATATCCTAAGGGAGGCGCGGAAAGACACAGCAATCTTAAAGAGGGCTATAGAGGGACTACACTGTGCAGTTGTTCTACCGGCAGCTGAACCTGATCGCGTTGTTCACGTACCCATAGAGCGTCAGGGTCCACTACTGTGTGCGATCGTAGAACATATGAAGGTAAAACACGATGAGCCAGGCACACCATCCACCAAACCTGTAGATACGGCATCCGTGAATATAGACGACTCACCACGGCCTAAAGCTAAACTGCAATATACGGAATTTGATGCGTGGTCTAATTGTCCTGAGGCTCTTCGTTTACTTACACAGATACTTACTGTTCTGCGACAACAACGACTCCTGTTCCCCGATAGCCTGCCTGACGGATTGCCACACAAAAGACGTTATGATCATCGAATTCTCCTTTTACCCGGCAAACTACCGACGCGCGCGCCGATATACAAGATGCCGCCTAATCAGTTGGCTTATCATACCAAGGAGATAGCACGTTTCACTGCCAAGGGGTGGATTGGACCTACGTACTCTCCGATTTGCTCTCCCACTATAATGGTAGATAAACGAGACGATGGGACCGGCGAACGGAAGATGCGAATAGTCGTTAATCATCAAGCACTAAACGCACTAACAATAGCTCCTGAGTTCCCTATGCCAAGTGTGCAGACAGTTTTGGAGATGATTGGCGGCGCTGCATACTTTTTGACTCTGGACCTAGAAACGGGATTCCGTCAAATTCGTATGGAGCGGGAGTATAGGTGGAAAACGGCCTTTCGTTCAGTACAAGGCCTCTTCGAATATAAGGTAACGCCCTTCGGTCTCGAGGGAGCACCTGCCACATTCCAGGCAAATGTTAATGCATACCTACAGCCATTACTAGGTCACAGGGTCATTCCTTATCTACATGATGTACTTATATACAGCTCGACATTGGAAACTCACCTCCTACTCTTACAGCAAGTCTCGGCATCTTCCTAAAACACCAGTTCTACCCTAGGCTGACGAAATGCAAGTTTGGACAACAAGAGCTTACTTACTTGGGATATAGAATAGGAGCGATGGGATTAAGCCGCAGCCGACAAGGTGGAAGCGATCCATTTATGGCCTGAAGTTCTAACGAACGAAACACAGGTTCGGCAGTTCCTAGGTACCGTCAATTACTGTGGGATGTTCATGGGACCCAAGTATGCCTATATCGCACGCCCGTTAGTGGAGTTGACTCACAAGAACTCGCCCTTCGTCTGGAGAGAGGAGCACACCGC